CTTAGTCTCAAAAAAAAAAAAAATTACAATGATTTTTCTCTATGATTTAACCTAGTTTCTATTTTTGAGTTATCTTACTAGATTAGTAGGAAACCTAACCTCATCTTTTAAAGCCCCTCTGAGCCCTGCTTCCCTTACTGTGCATGCCGTGGTTCTTGAGTTGTATACAATGGGCATATAGGAATAGAGTCTTAGAGGGTGTCCCACTTGTTTTCTGTCCTTCCCCTTCAGGCTGGATGACGTTCAACTGTGTCCATGCTCTGCTTGGGCACCTGCGGGATCATGGGCTGCCTGTGGTCCCATTGCCTAGACACACCACAGACACTCCCCATCCTTCACTCCCAGTACCTCTACCAGTGAAGCAAAGCTCTTGTCGCCTTTGCTTCTGAGTCCAGTGGTCCTTTATGCCCTTGTCACACCACCTTGACCACTGAAGAGGGACCCTCCTTCCAGTGTTGGGGAAGCCATTTCCATTCAGATATTTAGTTAAATATTTTGCCCTTGCCTTAAAGTTGCTCTCGGTCCCAAGCTTGGCTTTTGGAAGCAAAAAGACTTTTCCCTTCCTGACTTTCCAATATCCCTCCCCTGAGGTTGAGCACAAAGTCAACCGTCTCCTTAAATAGGGGAAAGAGGAGAGGTAGAAAATATGTACAGAGATCAGGATCTCAAAATATAATCCCACCACATGAAGAAATGGTGTTGAGAAAAGTTGGCTACGTAATTACAATCAGATTAGCTCTGACGTCACTGCACATACCAAAATACACATACAGCCACACACACAGGTTTTGTTTGCTTGTTTATTTTTTGGTTTTTGAGAACGGGTCTTACTCCATTGCCCAGGCTGGAGTATGGTGGCAGAATCTCGGCTCACTGAAGCCTCAAACACTCTTGGCTCAATCAATCCTCCCACCTCAGCCTCCCGAGTAGCAGGGACTACAGGCATGTAGCCACCACACCCAACTAATTTTTATGTTTGTGTGTTTGTGTAGAGACTGGGTTTTGCCATGTTGCCCAGGCTGGTGTCAAACTCCTGGGCTCAAGCAATCTGCCTGCCTTGGCCTCCCAAAGTGACGGGATTTCAGGCGTAAGCCACAGTGCCCAGCCATGGCTTTTTAGTTTTAAACCAAATGAATCTAAGAGAAAATACTGGTTTTCTTTTTATTTACAGTCAGTAAAATTTATTTTTATGGTGTATGGTTCTTTTGTTTTTTCATGTACATTCAGAATTTTTATTTTAAAACAAAGAATCAGAGTAACAATAACAATAGAAAAATCCTTATGGAAATATTGACAATCTGCTCAGTGAGAAATGGGAAAACAACTTCCCTGCCTTACTGCCAGCCTACTGTTTGAGGAGCCAGAAGTTGACGTGAAGTTGGAAGGTCACATTTTCCAGCTAAACCCCACTCCATAGCTATGTGCATTTTATTCAAAGCCTCCATGACCAGAGGGGACAGTGAGAACTGAGACCCAAAATACTGTTATTGGCAAGGGTTTGGCCAAAATGTTTGATGTGTAAGCACCAGGAGGGGAAAGGGAGATCGAGCAACATGAAAAACGGGCTGTAGGAACAAGCACAGAAAATAAGTCAACAGGAAACCTACTTCCACCCAGAGCAAAGTGACAGTGCACGTGCGTTCATCCTCTCAGTGTGGGCTTCACTGCGCGGTGACTCATACTGTTTCAAATGCAGTCTACTGGAAAGACTCAAATCCGCTAAGGGCACTCAGCATGGGACCACGGTGACGTGGTAACAGACATACACAAGCAAGCTGTGACCCTGAAGCAACAGTACACTTCAGATAATCGTTCAGAAAAGATCCTCTCCCAGAGCTGAGGTTACACATTCCAAGTTAGCTATAAACATTCTTTGGGGAATTCCTTTAAAGGTATGAGTTAAAATAAAACAAAAATCAACATATGGTGTGCAGTTCTATGTGTTTTAACATGCATGATTTCATGTTACCACCACAAACAAAATTCAGAATAATTCCATCAACTCATGTTGATGCCCTCTCCCACCCCTAAGCCCTGGCAACCACTCATTAGTTATCTGTCTGCCTTTTCTAGAAGGTCATGTAAATGGAAATAGACAGTAGGTCATCCTTTGAGACTGATTTACTTGATTTATTTCACTTAGCAGAATGCATTTGAGACCCATCTATTTTGTTGCAAATATCTACAGTCCATTCTTTTTCATTACTGAGTAGTATTCCAGTACTACCGGAATAGGATGAACCACAGTTTGTCCATTCACCCGCTGAAGGACATTGAGTTGTGCCCAGTTTTTGGCAATTATGATAATGCTGCTACAAACATTTGTGTACCATTATCTGTGTGAATGTAAGTTTTTATTTCTCCAGCAAAATATTTAAAAGTGGGATTTGTAGGTTATAAGTACATGTTTAACTTCAGAAGGAGCTGCTAAATTATTTTCCAGAGTGGCTCTTACTACTTTACATTCCCACCAGGAATGTGTAAAAGTTCCCGTTGCTCCGTATTTTCACCAGCACCTGGTAGTGCCAAGCTTTGTTCTGTTTGGGTTTCTTTTTTCCCGCCTTATGGTTTTAATTTCATTTCTCTAATGACAGATGTTATTGAGCACCTCTTCATGTGCTTATATACCATCCATAGATCTTCTTTGATGAAGTGTCTATTCTGATCTTTTGCTAATTTTTTTTTTTTTTTTTTTT